TCAAATTCTGCAATTCTGTTTTAATTAAAATTAAATTAAGTCTTTTAGCCAGTATATTTGAAACAATTTTTTGTCCTAACTTTTGTTCAGAATAAAATTTCTGATACTCAGTCCTCTAATTCTCGTATCATGTGAGCTTGTTCGTCGTTCGTTGCTTTCTTAGGCCTGCCTGTAAGCAAGGATAAGGCCACAGGCGCTTGACGTTTTTAACCTTTCTATTTATAATAAAAATTTCCCTACTATACTAATAACCAAGGTCGGACACGGTAGCCATCTTGGATTTTTTTCAGGTCAGCTTCCTCACTTCGATTTTTAGTCTACAATATGTTTAAAATAAACAGATACAACCTTTTCCTTAGAGTACTTACCATAACTATGCCTCCACTTTCGGGCAATCCAACTCAAACCACATTAAACCCTCTCTTATCTTTAAAATATCGCTTCATACTCAGTCTACTGTGAGGAAGCTGACCTGAAAAAAATCCAAGATGGCTACCGTGTCCGACCTTGGTTATTATTATAGTAGGGAAAATTTTCATTTATAAATAGAAAGGTTAAAAACGTCAAGCGCCTGTGGATAAGGCATCTTCTATATAAATAGCACTGTCATTCTTTCTCGGTTGGTTTTACCGTCGTTATTCATCTCTATTGTAATTTTTTGTTCGTATTGATTCTCTTCAAACATTGTACTTCTGAGCTGACCTCGAATGAACAGAATACGCAAACAGCTATTTAAAAGCCAAACACATTTTACTCCCATGATTATTTATTATTCCATTGTTTGAAATGAACGATTCAAGTGTTCCTTCAAAGGATACGAGAGAAACAACAGATTTGCAGAAACTAAGTGGAAACTCTATAGTGATAAGTGATCACCTGTCAGTTTTGAATACTTTTAATATTCCACAGAGCCAAAATGAATTTAAACTACCTTATATATATTGGATTCCGAAACTTCATAAGAATCCTTACAAACAAAGATACATTGCAGGTTCCAGTAAATGTTCAACCAAGCCTCTTTCGTTACTTCTCACTAAAATATTGACAGTAGTGAAGGATAAACTTCAAGAGTACTGTACAACTATATATTCAAGAAGTGGTGTAAATCAGATGTGGATACTTAAAAATTCTAAAGAACTTTTGGACAATTTGAAATCACAAGACTTTACAAAAATCAACAGCATAAAAACTTACGACTTTTCAACTTTATACACAACAATTCCGCACGACAAATTAAAATCCAGGCTTTTTGATATCATTGACAGCTGCTTCTTCAACAAAAATGGAATTCGTAAGTTTACTTACCTCGTCATTGGTCATTTGAAAAATTATTTTGTTAAAACAGATTCTGATTGTACACATAAGTACTCTGAAGTTGACATCAAGAAGATGCTTGAGTTTCTGATTGACAATATCTAATGTGGTTTTTGGAGACCAGGTATTCCAACAATCTATTGGAATTCCCATGGGTACAAATTGCGCTCAGTTTTTAGCAGACTTATTTTTATATTCATATGAAGCAGAATTTATGCAAAATCTTTTGCGTGAAAAGAAAAAAACACTTGCTGTGGCCTTCAACTCGACATTTAGATATATCGACGACGTATTGTCAATTAATAATGATAATTTCCATTCCTACGTCGACACCATATATCCCGGTGAGCTTGAGATAAAAGATACCACAGAGTCCAACACATCTGCTTCATACTTGGATATTTTACTTGAAAAAGACACAAATGGTAATCTAACAACCAAGCTATATGATAAACGTGATGACTTTAACTTTTCTATCGTGAACTTCCCTTACTTATGCAGCAATATACCTTCATCACCTGCATACGGAGTATTTATATCTCAGTTGATTCGATACGCAAGAGCATGCTCTACGTATGAACAATTTCTTAAACGAGGTAAATTATTGACAAGCAAGTTGATGAAACAAGAATATCAACAGTCTCGTTTAAAGTCATCATTTCGTAAATTCTATGGTCGATACAATGACCTTGTCAGCAAATACAATTTATCATTGAATGAAATGCTGACTGACGTTTTTCATACCAATTGTTAGTCCATTATTTATACACTGAATTGACTACGGATTTTTTCCGTTATTTCCTGATTATGACAATGAGCACACGGCGGGTGTGACCGGTCAGCAGGGGATGCTCACTCCTCAATGGCACCTGATCCCACCTCTGATGTTTCGGAGGTCCGTGTTTGCTCTGCTCTTGTTTTGTATATTTGTTTAATGGACGTTGAGATTGAATACTGTTCGTTATTTCCATATCCTTATACAAACAATTTCAAATCTTTCAGATCTTAAGTCAATATATAATTCACACTAATAACTAACTCAATTTTTAAAATGAATATATTTATACCATTTCATTTCATAGTATGTTTAGATTGCTATTATGTTTTTGCATTAAAACCACAGGCACATGTCACGTACCTTTTCAATAGGGGTAAATGTGTATAGTTTCTGTTAACCCCCATCAAACATCAAAATCTGATTTTCGTTCTGAAGAAGCCTCCTGGTCTTGCACTCTATCTCTTACATGAACATGCACATACCGAAAGTTCATTTCATAAATAACTTCAGCTGGCATAGCACAATCAAGCACCATCAACTTGAATATAGATGTCAAGTGCTGGGGTACGCTACCACCTTGACCTCCGATTCTGAGGACCCAACGCATTGTGCCACAATATCCCCTACAGTATCTGTTGGTTTACATTGAATGAATCTGTTGGTGATTGTCCCCTGGTTTTTAAAAACAATAAAACCAATCCATTGAGGATGATTACGATGTTCTGACATTTTCTGCACGTGTTTACCGAGATTCAAACGTCTGAGTGATTTTCTTTAAAAAAAAAAAAAACGGGTTTCGGACGAGCGGCATGAAAATTTCCGGATTTTTTTTCTTTTTATTTGAAATGCCAATTTTTAGAGTAGGCGGATCCGTAAAACTAAAATTCAAATTATGGTCGCCTAACTAAAGACATGTATACCCATGCTAACAAAAAAAATGAAATGCACTCTCAAAAGATTTATGTTATGCTATAAAAAAAACGTCATAAGGACAGCATAAAACCCCTGGTGATTAATCGTCATGAATACACCTAAATTTGCGGAGCAAATCGTCAATGTACAACCGACTTAAGTACTTCTATTTATACGGATAATTAGTAACCAAAAATATAGGGAATTTACAATTCTCTAATTATCAACATATTATTTCAATCCACTATATTTTGAAAAAAAAAATAATCCAAACATCCAGTTTCCAGACATAGGCAGCGCTCTAACAGATCACATATTTATTTAATTTAAATGATCCTCAATTGTATAGACACATGTGTAGACAATTTTCATTAAATAAAATCCGTACTCACAAATTGTAAAGTCATAAGTACCTAGTTGTTATCAAATTTGTACCATCAACATGAAAGCATTAATATTATGCTAATATACAATGTTCTAAAATCCACCCCCATCCCAAACTAACACTAAAACCCTCAAGCATATAAAAACCTATTTCTTATCGCACCTAACTATTGTTGACTTGACCTTCTTCTTTACTGGAGAGTTGGACCTTGATCTTGACCTTCTGAATAATGTCTCGGCACGGGTTGTCCTTTCCTGGCGTCTTTCTTCATTCAGGTTCCTTCGGTACGGTGGAGCACTGCCGCTGGTAATGAGGCGAGGCCGATACCATCCTCGGCCCCGGAACGCAGGCCTCTTGGGTAACCTTGCTCGGATGGGTGTCGCAGGTCTATCCTCTGGCTGAGGTGTAAGCCCCCTCTTTGGGCCGCTACTATAAAAATAGTCCGTCAAGGTCTTTGTTAATTTCCTGGCCGCTACGGTCTGCTCCTCTATGGCCTCTATCTGCCGGCCACCTTGCTTCTTCACCTCAGCTTGTAGGTCCTTAAGTGCCCCTATCAGATCCGCCTTCTCCGCCCCTAGTTCTGGCTCCTCCTCTCCCAACAGTTGGGGTAAAATGTCCACCACTTCTGGAGGGGAGCGCATCGCTGGCGTAGGGGGAACTAATTCTGCCACCTCCTCCAGAAGTGTAGACAGTGGGACCACTTTGTCCTCAGCCATCTTCTCTTTCTTGGTACCTAAATTTATCCAGTACGCCAGTGAAGCCGCCTGTTCTCATCTGACTAAGAGATCCTCCTTCCAGGCAAAAGGTACAGCCGCACGAATAACCTCCACTGGAATATCTGTTCCCTTATGCGGGTCATACCATCTACCATGTGACAAAAGTTCCTTCTCCGTCAGCGCCACAAAGTCACAGGATTTACATGTAAAATGAACTTCCTCCCTAAGCACTTGACACTTCAGAAAATGCTTAATAGCATACTTTTTAATCTGTTTAAAATCACAAAGCGTGCACTGAAACACTCTCCCCTTCTTTTCGGCCTTAGCCACATCCATGATGAAACTGCAAAATTACAGATAAATATTAGGTGAGTATGAATTTATATTCTCATTTTGTAAGATCCCTTGCCAACCGGTAGAAGTAGTCTGTTTCACGATATGATCTTGGAATAAAAATACTATGTACATAAATGTATTTAATTCTTTAGAACTTTATACTAAGAGTACATATCAAATGATATTTTTTTAAAAATCAGCCGTTCATTCACACATCCATCCTTAATTCTCAGTCGGAGTAAAAATATTGTTTCAGGTTTATTTACTAAAATAATTTAGTATAAATATGTTTTGTATCTCTTCTTTATTTGAAAGTTGATATATTTTTTTTATTCAGGTATAGATCCAATTAATAGATACACATACACATGCTGCGTTCAGCTAGGCAGTTCAATCGATCAAATCTGTGGGGAGCAAGTCTGTAGATGTGTAGAAAATGGTATGGCTTATATATAGCTCATGAAATTTGCTTGGAAAACAAAGGTTTTTGGAATTGAATAAAATCTCTTCATCTCATTAAGTTATAAGTAAATATGGTTTCAAAAGATTTGAGACGTCAATGTTCTGGATATTTGATCCACTTCAAGAGTTACAAGAGAAGATTCCACGGGTACTCTTTTATTGCACGTCTATTAATAATTCCTCTAAAATCTATACCTTTTTAGTTGCAGAAGTACCATCCAGTGTCCAGTATATTGAATTGTTCCACTCGGAGACAGAAGAGATGAAGAAGAAGTACATCGTTAAGGAACTGAAAAACTGTGACAGTCCTCTACGAGTTGTAATTTCAACTAGTGCGTTAGGAATGGGAATGGATGCCAAAGCGTTCCATAATGTCATTTTGTTTGGGGCACAGACAAACTGCTCAGACTTCATCCAGGAAATAGGAAGAGACAACATGCCCTCTGTTGCCTTGATCTTGTATAATGGATATCATGAAAGAGTAGCAGACATTGACATTAAGAAGATCATGTTGACAAAGGAATATGTAATTCCCCACTTATAAAAGTTGTGTACACTGAGTATCAGTAGCTTTCACCATCTTGGCTCCGAGATCTTTAAAATTGAACTTTTTGATGTACCATTGTTTGTTTGATACCTTTGCTGTGATTTTTTAATAAAAGTATAAACTTACAAAAGTCATCTGAATCCAAACACATTAGTTAATTGTTATATACCGGATTAATTGGTGCCCGTGACCAGGACAAGAACGGGAAGTCTCACAACGCTGAAAAGTGAGAAGAAACCCCTACAGGACGAGATGAAAGAATTAAAGAAACGAGGAATCCTCAATCCAACTTCTAAAATTTACACCTATAATAAGACCACAAAATTTCTGATCAAGCGTGGACTCCGCGAAGAAGAAGCGGACCAGCAGGCCACTGGGATCGCTTATGCGACACGCTTCTTCGCCAGTGTCACAGAAATTAGAATGGAGTTGATACGAATCATAATCAAAGAAACATCAAGATTTCTGGAGGCCAAATCATTGTCTTTGACATCTGTCAAGGACAAAAGGAGAATGAACGACACAATCGGTTGGCTGGCCAGGGGGCTGATGGACTATTCCACAAATGAGGAAGAAGCAGTCCGGATGGCTTTGGACTTGGCTGGGGTTGCCATCATAGAGAATGAAAGCGAAGAGTGGTTGATGTGCGTGGAGTAAAGAAATTGGGTCCTGTGTTATATAACGATTTCATTGGGTCATATTACATAGTGTGCATTACGGAACTGTATGAGGACAAACTAAATGAATCGTTTGTTATTAACGTGAACTTTGAAGACAGTTCTGTAAAATTATATAGAACCTAAGCAAAAGTACATTTATATATAAATGAGTGTGGTCAATTCAATATAAATGCTATGTGTTTACAGAATTTTTCAATGTAAAATAAAAGATAATAAATCAATAAATGTCCAAAGAAATCTTTTCTTATTGTTATTTGCAGGATTATGGATACAAAACCACCTATAATACCTGATAAACCCTTTAAATTAAAAAAATATACGAATTTCACCTTTATGGACGTATTCGTTGGAACGGGAAAAACAACTTCAGGCTGTATAGAAAATACTTAAGGCCTCTCAACACCCCAAAGTGCATTGATTATTTGTGTGATTTATATGAATATCATCAGTGTTATTAATTGAACATCACTAGTCCTACAGTAAGTAGCATGTCTGGATGGTGTTTCTCCCGACATCTCTATGTTGATAAAAGTGGACGTGAGGGTGTATACACGTTCCCGTTAATATATAGCACATCTCGCACTAGCTTAGTCGTGCATTCGTCTTGTCTCGGCTGTCGGAAGAGTTTTTTCTCCTCTCCACCATTTCTGCCAGACACTGTTCATTTACCCAGATGTAACATCCATGGAGTCTATGTGGCGCTTTGATTCTGATGTATTCCCGGTCCTTGAAATGCCTGAAATTTGCTACAATATTTCTGGGTTTTTCACTGAATTCTCTGAATTTTCCGACCCTGTGGACCCGTTGAAATGAAAGTTCGCAATAACGCCTAAATATCTTCCGAATGAAAACTTGCAGAACCTCCTCTGTGTCCTCTTCTTTCTGTTCTGGAAGCCTGAAAACACTAGATTGTCTCTCATGGATCTGGCTTTTAAGTCGATGATAGAGTCTCCAATTTCTGCATGTTCTTTATTTAATAATTGAGGTAATAAGCGTGCCGGCACGAGTAGATCGTTATGAGGTCAGGTGAAATGTCATAGTGGAGATATTAACATAAGCTATTTCACTACAGTATCAAACTGATTGTTAGGCCATCTTTAAACACTGAATAGTCAACGGATTTATCCTCTATTTCCCGAACATGACAGGCCAACGAGAGATGCTCACTCTTCCTTGACATTTGTTCCCACCGGTGACATTCGGTACCTTCTTGTAAATTTGCTTTGTTCCTATCTCGTCAAGTAGCTAGGCTCTTGAGCAGAAGACATATGAGGTTGCAAAACCTTTATACGAGCCAATGTAGGAAAAAATTAATATTAGTCGCTAGTAGAGCTAAATATCAAAACGTACGATTGTACATACGTGAAAAAATTATAATCTGTATCTGTATTTGTACATCGCAATAACCTGTTGGGCTTTGACGTAACGGAGAGAGAGAGAGAGAGAGTTCAGTCGCGCTGATGTTCTAACACTGACTTAAAACTTTCTAACTTAAAGGCGCGGACTACTTCCTCCAGATGGTTCCAATCGATCGCAGTGCGTACAAAGAACGAGTTCATGAGCTGGTCTGTCTTTGCGGTGTGGTCTTCTACTGCTCTGCTGTTCTTTCCTATCCTACTGTATATAATATTTGTCGCTTTGTAGTCTACGTACACTTTAGATTTCATATGCCTTTTCTGTTTTTGTAATGTGATATATTGATCGGGTAAGATGGCTGGTATCTGCCGCTCAACAAATTTGTAGAAAAAGTTCAGACGTTGATTTAGATTCTGGTTTGTACTAAGGAAGGTCAATTTCTTTGAGCATCTTTGTTATTTGGTATATCACTGTCGGAACACTATATGAGTGGCTCTATACTTCCACGTTTGTTAAATTTTATTCCGAGACTCTGCTTGATCCTATTTTCGAGTCCACTTAAATCTTGTAGTAAGGAAGACTGTTTCACACCCCTAGACGGATCAATGTGGAGAACATGTGGGAATTTGCTGTATAATATTAAGGTCACGCTCTCAGAAAGGGGTAAAGAGAATTTAGTCTTTTGTCTAAAACTCGATGTAAGGATTAAAGTTTAAAACATACAATGTATTACTGACGGTATCCTTACTTCTCTGTACCTTCGCCTGCTCTCTATTCCCCTCAACAATTATCCATACCAACAAGTGGTATCTAGGTCTTTTCACTAACATTTTGAATTTTACAATATACTTCCTAAGGAATCAGCAATCACGTTTTTAAAGTGCTTAAAAAGGTGCAATAATATACATTTTCTCAATTATTCGAGGAATCTATTTTTAGACCATGGTTGCCATAAAATGAAACAAGTGTTCATCCTCAATGTTGTAGCAATTTTTGAACAACCACATGTACATTCTGAAAGCATATTGTTTAAAGCTTTATATTTGTTAGGACTTTTTATTTGAAGCTTCCAATTAGAACAAAAATGCCATTTTTCCTAATATTCAGAGACATATCTATATTTAGCCACCTGATACTAAAAATAGAAATGGGAATTCTCCTCAACCGTTGTCCATACCAGCTAGTGGTGTCCAGCTCTTGTCATTAAAATTTCAAATTTTACAACATTCGTTCTAATTATGCAGTAATGACAATAAAAAACTTTGCAAAAACTAGATGTTTCACATTTTCTACAATATATCTATTTATAGATACATGTTACTAAACATAGGAGCAAAAGCCCACTTATGTTTTTTCATGAAATGACACTATTTATTACCAAGTATAATTACACACATAAGATTTTGGAAATTTCCGCGGACAATTTTTCTTATTTAACCTCAAAGATCTCAAAAATTTCTAATTTCCCCATTTTTCAAATTTTTAGAAACCATGTCATTTTGCACGACCTTTTTCTTACAGGAAGAATATTTCAAGAATAAACAATTATATGCTCTGTGTACCTTAAAAAGTCATGTTATCAAATGATCCAATGAATTATGTTAGAGTGTTTTAGATACCGATAAATATTCATTTACATTTCCTCAATTTTCATGTTTTCATTTAGTCAAAATGGGAAAAAATGGCCGAATTCAATGGATCCGTCTCCATGGCAACCAAGTGCACATGTGGAACTTCCGACACCATATTTACTAGTTTTGCACCAAGACACACTTATGGTAAAATTTTCATCAAAATCTGAGACATGTCGTTTCCAAGCCCTATAGTAAATTCGTTGGTGCTTACAAAAAATGTTAATATGTATTCAAAAATGTTCTTTACCTCTTTGGAACTTTGTCATGTATCTATAATTTACTAATTGACATTTTATATTCCGGAATTCTATGTTCTGATATATGATCATGTTTGGTTCTAAAAATAAAATATTCATGTAGTTGTTTCCAGTTTACAAATGGCTGCTTACATGTGAACGCCACATAGTGTCAGAAAGTGGCTGAAATCATATGTTTAGAGCGTCATCACAACTTGCAAAGTTTGCATTCCTTGACTTAATCACTCGAGAGAGAGAAATATGGAGTCTCTCATTTGCGCTACCCCGAAAATCGACCGGGAAAGTGGTGATCTTCCTGGAACATGGAAAAAATTCAAAGCTCACACAGAATTTATGTTCAACGGACCGTTGAAAAAAATCCGAGGAAGAAAAATGTAACTACCTTATGATCTTGGTAGGCGAAAAAGGTAGGGATGTCTACAGTACCTGGTACATGACAAATGATGAGAAAAGAAACTAGAGACATATAACACGAAATTTTAGGCCTACTTTCAGCCGAAAAGAAACAAAGTGTTCTCAAGATACAAAATTCAGTGTAGAACTCAGCAAGAAAATGAGACATGTGAAGAATTCGTTACAGTTATAAAAGTTTTAGTGAAAGACTGTGGCAGTTTTAAAAGTTTTAGTGAAAGACTGTGGCAGTTTTAAAAGTTTTAGTGAAAGACTGTGGTTACACGAATCCAGATGAAATGGTAAGAGACAGAGTAGTGTTTGGTGTACGTTCGGCCAAATAAGAGAAAAGTTGATCACAACAGGAAGTGAACTGACGCTAGCACAGGCTATAGACATTGCGAATTTATATGAACTTTCTCGAGCTCAACTCAAAACAATAAATGAAGAACCCAAAGGAAATACTGCAGGTAATGTGACGAGTGAAGTGAAACGTATCACAGCAAAACAGTAGTTCAAAGGCGAACAATCAGACAATCAAAATTGTAGACAGTGTGGACATAAGAAGCACAAGCATGGTGAAATGTGTCCAGCGATATGAAAAGTCTGTTCAGGATGTGGAAAAAGAAACCATTTTGAACGTGTTTGTGAATCTAGTGCAACATATAACCGCACACGAGGTGGACATTATGCTCATAGAGGAAAACCAGCGCAGCGAGGAAAATTCCATGGAAAGCGTCCAGGAAAATTTAAAAGTCGCTCAGTGAACATGCTGGATGAATCCGACGAGAATGACTCGGACTGTCAAGATTCATTTTTCCTAGGAATGATTGATACTGGACATGTTGATGTCAACACCATTGACAATTTGATTACAACTTTACAGTTGAACAACACAGATGTACAGTTTCTCATGGATACAGGTGCAAAGTGTAATGTACTCACTAGAGACACTTATCACAAACTTAAAATGTCACCCCTAGAGAAACCGAAAGCTTCGCTAACATCTTACTCTGGACATAAAATCATCACAGATGGTATGACAACAATACCATTGCAACATAATGGCCAAACTCATGCAGTAGAGTTTTACGTTGTCAACAGAAACGCACCAAACATTCTCGGAGCTGAAACTTGACTTTCTGAGATGTATGAATTCCATTTCCTGCAAGCTAGGATCTAATGAGGACAAACATCAGTCATCTGGAAAAGACATTTTGAGTGAATCTCAATACGCAGAGCTATTTGAAGGATTAGGATGCTTACCTGGACAGTACTCGATAAAGATTGATCCATCGGTAACACCTACCATACATCTACCACGCAAGATACCAATCTCATTAAAAGACAAAGTTCACCAAGAATTACAGAGAATGGAACAGTTGGGAGTCATTGAACGACAGACAGAACCAACTCCGTGGGTGAACAGCATGACTGTTGTGAATAAAGGATCCAAAATCCGAATATGTATTGATCCCAGGGATCTCAACAATGCAATTCAACGTAAACATTTTCCGTTACGAACTGTTGAGGATGTCATTGAGAATATGTCACATGCAAAATACTTAACTAAATTAGATGCCGTTAGTGGGAACTGTTGAGGATGTCATTGAGAATATGTCACATGCAAAATACTTAACTAAATTAGATGCCGTTAGTGGATTCTGGCAAATCCAACAAGACAAAGCTAGTTCAAGACTTTGTACGTTCAACACACCATTTGGGCGATACCGTTTCAAGCGTATGCCATTTGGTATAAAGTATGCGTCCGAAGTATTCCAGAAAATCATGTCACATATGTTTGAGGACTCATTGACGACGTAAAATGCTGACAAGAATCCATCCTTAAAATGCATTCGTTTGATTTTTTTCTTTTCTCTTGTGTAACAAAAATTGTCATTTTTCTTTTCAGATGGATGAATGTAACGGTTATGATTTTTATTGAATTTTCCATTTGTCTTTCGCAGAATATGTAGTGCCTTTAATTACCTTTATATATTTCCCGATATTCCTAGATAATGTTTATAGTCTCGTATTTTAACTTTGTTTGTGCTCAGATTAAATTTACCTACGTTTTGGTTGTTATTCCAAACTTGTTCAGTTTCCTTACTTTTTAGGTCACCTGAGTAAACTCGGGTGACTTATTGCTATCAGTTTTCGTCATTTGTTAACATTTAAACATTTTCAGTTTCTCTGAAAACATTCAACCAATTTGCACCAAATATGGCAAAAAGCATCTATAGGTAAAGGGGAGCAAATTGTGAATTTTACGGTCCCTGTCCCCCTAGGGCCGGAACGGGGTGGGCAAATCCACCAACATTTACGCAATCTTTAAAAATCTTCTTCACTCCTGGACAGTAAGAAGTCAAACCGTAACATGAAAACAATAACCATAAGTCTTCTACCAAAACTGTGAAATTTCATGGCCCAAGGGTCAGGGGTTGTAGTGCTGGGGGGGGGGGGGGGGGGCTATCGGTCTCTGCCTTAAACAAAGCATGAGTTCAACCACTTTTACAAAATTTCCCAGAGAAGGAATGTCAGTTTGAATATGAGAAAGGTGGCATAGTTTTGTAGGATGCAATAAAAGCTTTTTAATTTTGATATTCTGTGTGAGTTAAAGATGTTAGTTTTACTAACAGCTAAGTCGAATAGTCTTGGGCTTTTATCGAACGATAGTCGATTATTCGCTGCAATTTTAATTTTTCCTCTCTTTCATATTCAACCATTATCAATTACAGACTGCTAACACAATTATATTTGATTATAGTGTCACTAATATACAACATATTTCTGAATCGTAAAGTTTTGTGAAGCATAGATAAATATATTTAATATATTTACACAAAAACATATTTTATTTAAATATTTACCGCACACTTAAACTAAAACATGTTTATCAAAACACTAGCATTTTTTTCCTTTTTGTTAAGTATGTTCCCATTATTGATCTATCACCTGAAGCCATTTTGACGTACAGATATTGTTAAGTCAATGACCCGTGGCTGGTAAACAACTAGAACGTACTTGGTTTTAAAACAGAGAGCTTGCGATACATTTTAATTACATGTATATGAATTTATGCAAACAATTAATACAATCTTGAAATAATTAATAATACATAAAAAATTCATTTAATTTCCCTATTGAATATTCAGCAATTTACGAGTATGTACAAAACTGTAACATTTTCTGTTTATAGGCCTACACAGTCTCGCGCTACGTAACTTCCGGTAAACAGCTTCCGGAGATAAACAAACTTTGGCTGTGTTACATCACGATTATGACTATTTGTTTCGTCTTTGGTTGTAACCATCAAGGGTTACAGAAGACATGTAAAATGTTTAGATTTCCACCGAATCAAGCATTGGCAAAGAAATGGGAGAGACTTTGCAGGTAAGGTGCATTAAATACGTAAAATTGTGTGTCAAAATCGTAAAAGGGGGGGGGGGGCACAGTTGAACGATTAATCCTCTGTTTGATGTGAATAACTTGTGTCAACGGCTTTATGTATGAATTTGATCTAATTCTAGACGCAAGGATAGATGTGTTAATCTCAATATGGACAGGATATGTAGTTGCCATTTCAAGGACGAAAAAAAGGAGAATGGTCCTACACAGTTTCCCTTGAGTTCCGGGTTTGATTTTCCTGACCCAAATAAAATTTCAAGGTAAATTTTGTGCAGTAAAAATAAATTAAAAAGGAAGTCATCTAAAATACGTGCAGTAAACACAGAAATAATTTTTCCAAGTAGAACTGTAAAATACGAGAAAGAATTAGACAACCAGGTGCAGTGTGTGAACACGGATGAAGGCAGCACATCTGATGATGCCTGTGTCCCTCCTCTTCCTCCACATGTAATTGACCACCCATACCAGCTTTCATTCCAACGGTTAAGTGAGGAGCACAAGGTTTGTTTTTTTATAGCTTTTTTGTGTAACCAGGGACCTATATACTCAATATGGTGTAACATTTTCATCATTTTTTTGTGAAAACTTCTTTCATCTATAAAACTAAATTGATTTACTTCAATAGAATTTGAAACTGCAAGTGGAAGAACTGACAAGGCAGATTCAGGCAATGTCTAGGAAAAGAGCCTTTACTTTAGAGGACATAATAGGAGATGAAAGAAAGGTAGGTCTTGCACTTAATATCACTCAAGGTTAAGAGGGTGGTTCAGGTTGTGGTCATTTTTAGATTATATTTGTCTCCTTTAGAAAATGATAGTTCTCAGTTTTTAAGTCCATTATACTAGTACATGTTCATTCTAAGTGCGACAAAGAACCCACCAACCAAAAACAATTTAATTCTTTATGCTTTTATCTACTTGCTACAAATTTTCTTTGGAACAAGATGCTTTGTGGTTTATAATTTAATTTTCAGTGTTAATAAAAATGAAAATGGATGGACTACTGGAGAGTTCCATAGATATACAGACTGCTGGACAGTTCCATAGAAATACTTCATCTACCAAGGATGTGGACAGCTAGCGATTAAATATAATATTAATTGAAATAATTTACTTAAGGAGGAAAAAAAATGTTTTTCTGCTGGACAGATTCTTTTCAGTGTCAAATTGAAATTAAATTTTTGTATTCACATGCATGTTTGTTATACTGTTAAAGTATTGAGTGAAATTTCATTTGCAACATTTCGCAGCATTACTGGCCATTGTATAATATGGTCTAAAGCAAATGCAGTGTTAAGAATATCATTATTTATGTAGATGCTGATGTATACTAGTCTAAGACCAGACATGTTTCAAGCCATTGATGAAATGATGCGCAGATTCACCATCAAGTACATCGATGGATGGACACCTTCATTTATTTCACAAAGTGATCAGCTGCTTATGACCCTCATGAAACTTACCATGAACACGCCACTCTTAGATCTTGCTGAGAGGTTCAACACAAGTGCATCCTCGGTGAACAATATTGTAACTTCACAAATCTGTGCAATGCATGAAATTTTGTATGAGGGGTTAGTAGAAAATAACATTCCAACTTTGCAAAAATGCAAAGGCTCAATGCCAACAAGTTTTGGCGATTTCAGTGCATGTCGCATTGTGCTTGATGCTACTGAAATTAGACAGGATGTTCCTGGTAATGACATGAGGCTACAAGCTAGTACCTACAGTGGGTATAAAAATTCCCACACAGTCAAGAGTGTCACTGGTGTTGCACCAAATGGTGCACTTGTATTTGCAAGTAAATTGTATCCAGGAAGTACTTCAGATGTGGCAATTGTTGAGCATTGTGGACTTCTGAATCAGCTGTCTCCTGGTGATATGATTCTTGCTGATAAAGGGTTCACAATACATAAACTCTTGCCACAAGGTGTTCATCTTAATATACCACCCTTTTTGACAGCAAAGTCACAGTACACCCCTGCCGAAGTCCAGCTCTGCAGAAAAATTGCAAGATCTAGAATTCACGTTGAACGTGCTAATGAAAGAATAAAAAATTATGAAATACTGAGGCACATCCCACACCAGCTCAGATATATTAGTACAAAAATATTTCAATTATGTTGTGTGTTGGTAAATTTCCAAGACCCTTTACTGCAAGAAATTGCTCAAAATTTTGTACCAGAAAATAACTGAAAGAGTTTGAAAGCTGTTATTTATTCAAGATTAAAATGTGAATAACTAGCAGATATTGAAGCTCATTTATTACTCTTCAAACATGGCTTGCATGCTTTATAGATTTAAGTAACATGTCCACACTTCATTTCACTTTGCACCTTTATATATAAACACAACACCTTAATATGCATTGTAGCGCACCGAGCAAGTTGACGCCAGGTTTCTTGTATTGAATATATTCAAACATACATCATATCACACATCATATACATCATCATACACATAACAAAGCAGTTCTGATATAAAATTTTGCCAACAAACAAACAGGCAAAAACATAAACACACATCGACTTTTATATTGATGCAATAGAAACTAAGCCTTATAGCCTCCTCTGCCGCCCAGGAAAAACCATAGATAAAAAATATTTTGAAAAAACTATGGAAACCTGTGTATCCGCGGCAAATGCAGAGTAAGCGAAAAAATTGAGTGGCGGATCCTCACTCACGTTTAAAACATCCAAAAAGCTTATTCTTAATTTGAATTTTTTTTTTCATATAAATTCAACTATTGTATCTAAAAAACAAATTTTAAAACACGACTTGCTCGGGAAAGCGTGCGCTAGAAAGTGAACCTTTACTAACCACCCGTATATGCAATCGAACACGTTTTCTCAATACTAACTTTTCATTGGCTGAAACCTACATAGCAATTTTACCTTAGTAACACCACACTTTTGTATTCGTTTACATGTCGTCAGGACAATTATTTTTCGCTATACTTCGTAACGCAAAAAAATGTAAATACATGATTCAAAGGATTTACAATTGCTGTAAGTGTGGTATGAATCTATGGAAATAGAAGTCTGTAAGAACGGAAATGTTCGTCTGCCAAACAGGGTCCTGGGTAATCCTTACAATAGCGCAATCTTTCGGAGTCCAAACCATAAAATCACAGGCCTGTTTCCCAGTTATGTAGAGTTGTCCCTGAACTTGGTCATAATATGGATGAGTCTCCTTCAACTTGTATGTTCTCTCTCCACAAAATTCTTGAAACTCTTTAAATGAAAAAAAATATTCACATAATGTGTTGACCAAAAACTGCATTTCAGAATAAATAATCAAGAGGATTATATGTTATTGGGAATCATTCAATTTTTATATATATATAGTGTTTACAGTAAATTATAAGTGAATCTTTTTTAAGCCGTCTTTAAAATAATGTTTAATTTTCCTCTTCTACCTCAGGTTATAATCATTGAGTTGGTAGATAGGTGGAAAAATCATTTTTCCAGAAAATTTCAACATATTTATAGATGAGATACTAGGAAAAGAGAGAAATATATTGTGTCCTCTGGAATGTAAAAAAAAAGTTTAGGTAGGGCCATTTCATGAAAGGCAGTCGGGAGAGGGCAACCAAACATTTTTTCAGAGATGGCCTAATGCAGAATCTTTTTTTAAGAACTCTGTTAAGGTTGCCTACCTAAGCAAAAATCATCAATGGTGTCGATTGCTTCAGAAATTGTTTTTTCCTTGGCTGTATATGGGCACTTGACTTCTAGTAATGTAGGCCGAATATTGCATGCTTGCATTATGTCAGTCAGGACTGGAGATTGGTAATGGAACCCGAATGAAGCTGGTCGACGTACAATTCCATCAGGGCTACACCCCAGTACGCCATTACTATGGAGCCATATGCCTATTGAAAATCAAAAATTATATATATCAGTTTGATAGCAAACATTAAAGATGGAGACTTTGTTAGTGTATTGGATAATAGTTTCCTCCTTCTTACCTGTTGGTTCTACTACTGCGTCTCCATATGTCCTGTATTTATCAACTGCAACCTTCTCGTTGCAAACACCCCAAATTATGGCATCTTTTTTGGAAAGGTTGTAGGCTTGGCAGAGGCGCTTAAACAAAGAAACTGGATATCTGTTAAATAGTGCAGGAGAAAAAAAATTCAGTAACTTTTTAATTTAAGGACAAACAAAATTTCATTAAACTGAATATTGACAAAATATTTATTTTGTAGTACACTTTACCTGTTTCTTTTTACTGCAGCCAGAACAACTCCAAAGTTAGAAGCTGTTATACGATTTTTGCGAATGGCAGACCAGAGACAGTTGTCTTTTTGTCCAACAGTCAAAGCAGCAATCTGTCAATATAAAAATACTAAATTAATAAGCATTTCAACTAGCTGAGACATTTCACACTTAATACTTGGAAAACACACTTTAAAATTTAGTACTGCTTTGCAATTTGTAATACCTGTTGAATTTGTTGATCATTTACAAGTAGTCTCTGTCGTAACCAGGTCATTGGATGCTCTGCAGCCAGGAATTCTTGATTACTCAATAAGTCGTCAATGACTGGAACGCGCACCTGAGGTACAGAGGGCTCTGGTGCCAAAATCCAATGCATGGCTTTGAAAATATAAATTTATTCATAAGTTACCTTGCAATATGTGAAGAATGAAGTATTGTCACAGTGATGTCACAGAAAATAAGTTGACATGTCAAACATAAAAAGGTGTCTTTTCCCCAATTTCATTTTAAGACTGGACTTTAACTTTCTGGTACTTTTGTTGAAATATTAAAATTTAATAAAATATTTAGGACCATTGATCACAAAGAAATAAAAACATTATAGACCATTGTGGTCAACTCAAGCAATGAAAGTTACACTGGAATGTAAAATGGTGAATATCTAACACATTTTAGTAATAAACAAAAAGAATTTAAACAAATTCTACTACAAATGTTGCAAAGACCAAAGAGATGTCTTGCTATTATTCTCCAATACATCACAAAAGTCATCAACAAATAATCAATAATTTTAAATCTGTTTTCTCTAATATTGCCTGCCTTCACTAGGAAGATTGAAGATGTATCTTTTGGATTTTAATGATTTCAATTTGGTGGGGATGATGAACTTTTTTTTTCAGATTACAACGTTTTTTTCTAATCCTTCAAATACAAATGGACAAGGATAGCATTCAATTGTGAAGTCATGAAACATTTATGATGACTTTGCTTCTGCATTTAATAAAATAGGAGGAAAAAATATTTGTTGTAGCAGATTAGAAATAATTCCCACATCTAAGGAAGTATATAGCCTACAGTCTTGAGAATTTGTTTGCTAATAAAAGCCTTGCCCTTAGGGCTCTGTTTTTTATTTGCCAACAAAATCTCTGGACTATTTGGGTATATTCTCTAACAATTCCTCTGATACAGAATTATTTCTTTTAAAAGTAATGCAACATGTGCAATAAATATACATATGAACATTAACACAAACAGAACAAGATAAAACTTGTCACATTTTAAATATTACACCTGAAAATCTTCCCGATTGTCTCAACTTTTGGTACAAGAAGTCTCTGTCATTGCCATCAACAGGTCTATCTATTGCCCTGGTGATATTTTAAATTAATGTATGTCAGACCTTTATATATGCATATAAACTTGTGTGTTAACATCTCTCTCTCTCTTCCTCTCTCTCTATTAGTATTATATACTGAAAGGAAAGAGTAAATTAATATCCCTATGAGAATTTTTATGTGTTATTTAGCATCACTATGTGTTTTGTGTTTCGCATCCAAGAAACAGCCATAATAAATGGCTATGCCTACCTGTAATTTAAAAATCTGTCAGGTGCAGGAAAAAGTTCCTCCATCGTCTTAGTCTGACGAGGTCTTGGGGTGTTTGATCCAACTTTGGCGGACATCAGTTTTACTGACGTTTTTGTACCTGTATAAAGGTGTTCCATAAATTTACAAAGTTATATCAAATCATAGCATATAATATATAATAGTGCAGCCCTGGTCTTACAAATAAATCTTAAACTTACCAGTATGCTTATATGTATATGTCAAAGTAGTGGATTTGGAAATATCAGGCATAATTACCCTACTACTTCCAGTCACGTGGTGCACTGCACACATATTGGTGTGCATGTTTTCATATAATTTCTATTTATCAGTTTATCCCTAGAGTTGGTAAAGCATACCTAAAACAGAACAGACTTGGTAAAATTACATATTAAATAAACAACATAAAGTTACCCATAGAGAAGAATGCTGGCTTTATGGTGGCATTTATCCAACCCATTCACACATTCACATGTGCTTTGCTCAACGGTGTAGTTGGAACCAAGAGTTATCTAATAAATTAAAAAAAAAAATTTAAAATTTTAAAAGCAAAGAGCTGTGTTTACATGGAAACGTGAAAATTTTAGAGAAAAAAGAATTATAGATATGTAACACAAAGCATGACATAGTCGCTTTCAATCTAGGAAATTCGGAAAGAGTTTGTTTTAGATTTATGGTATAGGCACGATAAAACATATATACTTCTGGACATGTTGTACATTATGCATTATTTAATGCTTTACACATAAAGATTTACAAAAAACAACTTTTCTTTCTTCCAAAAATCTAAAAGAAATGGGATGAACTTACAGTGACCTGGTAGCTCCGGTCTCGCATGGAGGCTTGGACAATTCCCCTTATATACTGAGCATCTTTGTCGTAAACAAATTTAAAAACGTGGTCGGACTGTACGGCAGTCTCTGACTTCCGCATAAGTTTTGTTGTCCCCGCCGTATAATTAGACCAATATAATATTGAAAACGCCATACCCAAATCGCTTATATCTTGAGTAATATGGCGTCTTCTTTGTTTATCTCCAGAAACGAAATCTCGCGAAGTCTCGCGGAGCGCTGTGTAGGCCTATTAATGTTAAAAATGATATGGTTAACAATATCAGACGAGAGTCTGTTCCTGACCTTTGACACTAGAAAACCAGCTGACGAAAAAATCCTTTCTAAAGGCGCAGAAGTTGCTGGTACAGATGGTAACTTAGAAGCTAGTATTGCCAGCAAAGGGAAGGGGTATTCATTTGTAGGCCACTAAACAAGGGGATCTTCATCGGGATAAGATTTCTCTCAGAGATTGGGTTGAAATTCGCAGTAGGGAAAATTTTCGCCCTTTTCTGGAGATAATTCTGAAGGAAATCCAATGCAAGGTTGGAGACTGTTTTTACACTTAAAATAAGATTAATTGAAACGAATTTTTCATTCATTCTCGTTGTCAAATTCGTTCACGTACAGTTCCTGCAATACGGTAACATCTTGCAGAGCATCATGAGTCTTTGTCTTTGTTTGTCTTTGTTGGGCAAAGATTCTACTAAAGACTGCTGTCAGTAGCTTCTATTTTTCCTTCGTTACTCAGTTGAAACTTCCATAACTTTGGCTCCGATTTGTGTAAGTTGCTTGGTTTCTATCATTTGCAATGAAGGTGTACGAGGTCATTTCTAATTTTTTTTGCTTTAAAAAGGAGAGACTTGGTTACATTTAATGCAAACTTTTTTCCGTTGATTATGTATTTTTCTTAATTCTGCTGTTATATATTGACCAAATACAACACCCTCATCCATCTCCTGAGCTGATTTTGGCTTTGATCGGTTTTTAGCTCACCTGAGCCGAAGGCTCAAGTGAGCTTTTCTGATCACATTTTGTCCGGCGTCCGTCTGTCTGTCTGTCCGTCTGTCTGTCTGTCTGTCCGTCTGTCTGTAAACTTTTCACATTTTCGACTTCTTCTCAAGAACCCCTGGGCCAATTTCAACCAAACTTGCCACAAAGCATCCTTGGGTGAAGGGGATTCAAGTTTGTTCAAATGAAGGGCCACGCCCTAATTCAAGGGGAGATAATTGGGAATTAATGAAAATTTGGTGGTATTCTTTAAAAATCTTCTTCTCAAGAACCACTGTGCTAGGAAAGATGAAACTTATGGGGAAACATCCTCAGGTAGTGTAGATGCAAGTTTGTTCAAATCATGACCCCTGGGGGTAGGGCGGGCCCAAAATGGCCGACCAAAGTTTTACATAGAAATATATAGAAAAATTCTTTAAAAATCTTCTTCTCAAGAATGACAAAGATATAATTCATCATATTTATATGGAAATATCCTCAGGTAGTGTAGATTCAAGTTCATTCAAATCATGACCCCCAGGGGTAGGGTGGGGCCAAAATGGCCAACCAAAGTTTTACATAGAAATATATAGGAAAATTCTTTAAAAATCTTCTTCTCAAGAATGACAAAGCCATAATTGATCATATTTATATGGAAGCATCCTCAGGTAGTGTAGATGCAAGTTTGTTCAAATCATGACCCCCGGGGGTAGGGCGGGGCCAAAATGGCGGACCAAAGTTTTACATAGAAATATATAGGAAAATTCTTTAAAAATCTTTTTCTCAAGAATAGCTAAGCCATAATTGATCATATTTATATGGAAACATTTTCAGGTTGTGTAGATGCAAGTTTGTTCAAATCATGACCCCCCGGGGGTAGGGCGGGGCCAAAATGCCGACCAAAGTTTTACATAGAAATATATAGGAAAATTCTTTAAAAATCTTCTTCTCAAGAATGACAAAGCCATAATTCATCATATTTATATGGAAACATCCTCAGGTAGTGTAGATTCAACTTTGTTCAAATCATGACCCCTGGGGGTAGGGCGGGGCCAAAATGGCCAACCAAAGTTTTACATAGAAATATATAGGAAAATTCTTTGAAAATCTTCTTCTCAAGAATGACAAAGATATAATTCATCATATTTATATGGAAATATCCTCAGGTAGTGTAAATTCAGGTTTGTTCAAATCATGACCCCCGGGGGTAGGGCGGGGCCAAAATGGCCCACCAAAGTTTTACATAGAAATGTATAGGAAAATTCTTTAAAAATCTTCTTCTCAAGAATAGCTAAGCCATAATTGATCATATTTATATGGAAGCATCCTCAGGTTGTGTAGATGCAAGTTTGTTCAAATCATGACCCCCGGGGGTAGGGCGAGGCCAAAATGGCCTACCAAAGTTTTACATAGGAAAATTCTTTAAAAATCTTCTTCTTAAGAATAGCTAAGCCATAATTAATCATATTTATAGGAAAGCATCCTCAGGTAATGTAAATGCAAGTTTTTTCAAATCATGACCCCGGGGTAGGGCGGGCCACAATGGCCGACCAAAGGTGCTCAGGTGAGCGATGTGGCCCATGGGCCTCTTGTTTAAGTAAATAATCTAGAGAGACTTAAGAGTCCACATGGCAGGTCATACCATATCTACCTACCCTCATTCCCTCCAAGCACAGTTTCTTCTTTTCAATCTCAGATAACTCCACCTCGTTCTGACTCAAGGAGTGCTTCGAATCAATAAATTAACTTTTCTTTATAAACTTCGAATTTTCCGTACTCATTGGACAACATCGCACAATGTGGGAGTTGCTAGTAGAAGGAACAAAACTTCAAAAGCCTTCAGTCCTTTGCAGACCAACTCCTAAGAGAATTGGAATTCAGGAGGAATGAGGCAAGCAGATTAAAAGATAGCTAGGTTAATTAATTTATTTTTTTGCAGGTTTAACAATTTTATGTCAAAGAATTTTGTATTTGAAAAATATTTTTTTGTTATTGGTTATAATGAAGTATCTGCAAATTTCAGTTTCTAAATTATCTGATAGAATGGAGTGTTAGAAAGACTTTATTTTTAAGACTTGCTGACACAGGAAGAGGAGCAGGGGAAAGTTTCAATTTATTCAAGTTCAGACCACTATATGCAGATAAGGGGGACAAAAATTAACAAGTGTCACTTAGTAAGTAATCTTTATAACTTGCATAAAAAAGAAAATGCATTTATGATAATGTTCCAATTATGTATAGTTTTTTTTGGGAAATTGTAGAGAAAAATCAAAATCTTAGCTATTATCATTGCAGAAATTTCTGGACAACAATGCAACAGACCCTGTTGGGTACACACAGCTTGGTTAAGTGATATACAATGCGCTTTTAAAGGAAAAACGATATCTTGTGCCTTCAAGCTGATAATCAATGGCTTTTTTGAACGACATGAGATGGTGGGAACAACAGGCTGTAAGGTCGCATATTCCGAATAAGGAAAAGCCCTGAAAGGTTTGTTTGTATTTTGGAGCACACGGCGGATGTGACCGGTCGGCAGGGGATGCTCACTCCTCCATGGCACCTGATCCCACCTCTGATGTTTCGGAGGTCCGTGTTTGCTCTGCTCTTATTTTGTATATTTATTTAATGGACGTTGAAATTGAATACTGTTCGTTATTTCCATATCCTTCTTTTTATACCAGAACTCCATATGGCCATATATATGGCAGAAGGAACACCCCTGTGTATTTTGAGGTTAAAACGTCAGTGTCATGAATTCATACTTCTGTGTGACTTTGTGTAAAACTTTCATTTCCAGTCAATATCTCAAGAATGTTGATGCTAATGCTGATGATGAAGAAAATTCTTTAATTGATGTACCAGATTTCTTACGAGTGAAATTCAACCAACAGAGTATCACTTTGAACTATGATGATTATAGGACTGAAGACATTGTGAGCACTCTAAACAGTGAACTTCTGTCTGCCAAAAATGGGTTCAAAAACGGAAGCATTTATAAATCAGAAAATGGCAGTGTTACAGCGAGACTATATAAATCAACTCAGACAATCCATGTTCAAGGGAGTGAGAGATTTGCCTGGCTACGAGAATTCATTGGACAAATTCCTCACCTGCCAATAACTGAGGTTAGTAAAATTGAAGGGATGTAACAGCCACAAAATACTTCCACCCCTAAACCTTGTAAATTGCAAGATATGGAAAGCAGACCATGTCATAACTGTAACAGTTCTCAAATTATTCAAACACTGACAAAGTATATTACTGATCTTTCTGAGGAAGTTGCGAGACTGAAAATGGAGTTGCATTCTCTTCAGAACAAAAACACTCAGTTGGGAGATGCAACTACTCAGACAACGGAACCACCTACAAAAACCAAAGCTGTTGATACGCGTGACATAAAGGATACTTTTATAGAAGGCGTGTCGAGACATACACAGTATACCCGAGTTGAGACAAGGGAATTCTCAACTTCCAAGGAAACCTTGTCACCCCAGAAAGAGCAGAAAACCTCCAACAGACCGGAAAAGAACCGTACCCTGCCGACGAACGTTCCATCTGGAAAATCTGTTCTTGTAAAAGGTAGCTCAATCTTACAGCGAATACGTACCCGTGGATTACTAAAAAATGTTGCAGTCCGTACAAACAGAGGGGCTCGGCTGTCCGATATTAGACGGATCCTTCAGGGAATTGACCTAACACAATTCCAGTCAATCATAATCCTTGCCGGTGGACATGATGCTTCCAGCAACCGAGATATTGAGACAAGTGAATGTGATCTCACCGAAATTGTGCTTGATATCCAAAGGAGATCGCCATGCACCGAAATTTATATCTCAGAGAGACCACCACGAAGAGATACAAGTGTTTCTCAAATAAATGAAATCATCAAATTTGTTTGTGAGAAATACAGTGTGAATTTTATCTCGCTCCGAAATATGTGCCAATCTTCGGATCTGTTCTGGAAGGATGGGATCCATCTATCCGACAAGGGAACATCAACACTCCTGAAAGCCTACGATTCTTACGTCCGGATTATCAAAACGCGTCGTTTAAATGATACACAAAATATGCCTGGAAATATGAATGTGTGTTTCTACTGTTGTGAAACTGGCCATTCCTCTCAGAATTGTCGACACGGATTTAAGATTGTCTGCTGGAACTGCCACTCCCCGGGCCACAAAGCAAAACACTGTTCATATTAGGAATTCGCTAAAGAAGAAAATGCCGAACATTCTACCCTCTTAAATTTAAACCCATTTAGTGTTTTAAACAATCTCTGTGCTGAATGTGGTGAAATATCATTACAAACACCTCATCAACTCTTATTGACCATATTTATACGACCCTACCAGAAAACATATGTGAATCTGCAGTACCGTCAATTGCAATATCTGACCACTATTCTGTTTGTTTTACGAGAAAATTAAATAATAACACCAACAAATTCAAACACACGGAAAAAACATACAGAGACTTTTAAACGATTTAATGAACATAATTTTCTTGCAGACTTAAAGGAGGTTAATTTCCATTCATTGGAATTATTCTCTGACCCTAATGAAGCACTTAATAAATTTTATTCACTTTTTAATGAGGTATTAGATAAACACGCAAAAGTAAAATTAAAAAGAGTAAAGCATGACAAAAGACTTAAATGGTTAACTCAAGAAATTCTGCAAGCTCAGCACATGCGTGATACCCTCCATAAAAATAAAGAATTTGAAAATTTCAAAATATGGCGCAATAAAGTCACATCACTAATTGAAAACGCCAAGATTAGTTATTACAAAACAGCTATAGAACAAAACAAAAAACCAAAACAAATGTGGGATGTACTTAACAATTTAGCCTATAAATCTAATAATTATATTCCAGCTGTACTTGGTAAAAATAATTATATCTTAGAGGACACACAAGAAATAGTAGAAATGTTTAATTCTCATTTTTCAAATATTATTTATAGGGGAACGTACTTATTTTATTCGTACAAGTAGAGCTTTTCAAAAAAGCTTACCATTCAACAATTTTAAACTGTAAACAGATCTATACAAAATTTCTTGATTTTGTATTTCTAAATTAGCTTTTTACGGGTATAAGTCCTACCACGGTTGTCGCTCGGTCATGTCCGAGAGCATTCTCTCACCAGAGGACGCTACGCAAGCTTCACTTACACCTCTGTCAACGCCTGTTGTACAAGATTCTTGTACAAATTTTAAACAATGAATAAAATGCATCAATAATTGTTTTGATTCTTTTATTTATTTATAAAAAGGATAAAGTATCTTTCAATTAAGTTGTAAAATTTGTTTAAACATTTTTTTTCTCCGAAGTTTTTTTAGAACTATTTTGCGGAGGTAAAAATTAAATAAGGTCACATGATAACAAAAATGGAGGACCGAGTTAAAAATGCTGTGTTTGTCTATAATAGGAAAATTTCCGTTAAACCCAAGCAGGTGGAGACCTTATGTCATGTTCTTAACGGTAACAATGTCTTGGTTAACTTGCCAGTTGGATATGGGAAGAGTTTGATCTTCCATGTTTTACCAGAACTGTTGAAATCCGATACAAAAACCACTCCAATCGTTATTGTGATTTCGCCGCTAAACATTATTCATAAGGACCAGTTGTCTTCATTGGCCGAGCACAGCATTCCCTCTTATAGACTAAACATTGAAACGAAGCTTTGTGATTTCACGGAAGATGGTAAGGTATATGAAGCAAATTCCGACGTAAACCTGGATGATGTTATTGCCGGGAAATTTCGCCATGTGTTTTGTCATCCCGAAGCTTTGCTGAATACAAGTCTTGGAAGGAAATTACTCGACAATGATGATTTTTGTAGCTTAGTCGTGGCTGTGGTGGTTGACGGATGTCACATTTTAGATAAATGGTAAATTTTAGATGGTAATTGAATTGGCAAATTAACGGATCTTAAGTATATATAGCGCAATAGAATGTTAGAATAACATAGAAATATAGGATATATAGACGAGAATACTGATATGTAGCGATATACTCACTAATACTTGTTTTACTTGGATTATTAACTTTGCCTATGATTTGGATTTCTATGTGATTGTTTACTTGGATTTTATATACTGTGAATTATTTTTCCTGGATGTTTTTATTTGTGATGTGTTGTGTAAATAAACTGTAGAATAGACGAACTTGAATCTCATTTCAAGATATGAAAAGAATTTAACGCTACCAAATAGAAAATTAAAGACTGAGGACAAAATGTAAATACGGCCTCTCAGTCGGCGTTACACAAGAACCTTAATTTTCTATCAAGCCCTGGGTGACACTACATTTCAGCGCGATTTTCTGGGGACCAATAAAATAAGGTTGTTTTATTCGATGTAGATACCCGCTCCTACTTTTGTTGTTGCATTTCCTAAGCTATCTGTGCTTGTATTTCAAGAGGTCAGCTTTGACGAATAGTTTATAGAATGAGTTACTTTTAATTTTGTTTATTAACTCGGACATAAAACTATTCGTTTAAACATATGAATCTTGCATGCTTGATTTAATGTGGTAGCAGTTAAGCCAAATTGGATTTAGAAATTTTGGTTTGTGCTATAGCATAATTAAAATTTTAACAGATGCCAAAAGGCCAAAGATATCGGCTAAAATGCCAGTAATTTTAAAAGGGAACTCTCATCAGGTGCTAGTCCCAAACTCCAAGCAGGTTTGTTTCGGTAATGAATTGGTAAGTGTGGGGATTATTAAATAAGTTCTATTTACCTGTCTGTTTTAAAAAAAAATTAACTCAGTAAAAAGGAATCTACCTATTATGATACAAATTTAAGGTCAAAGTTCAAGGTCACCAAATCCACAATTCTGTCTGTTTTAGCACTTTGAGATTTTGCAAGACAATTCATACCACAAATTACTATGGACTACAGAATACCCCAATTTATATTAACGTCAAAGGTCAAGGTATCTGTGTGTTTTTATTTCAATGTGATATATTACGAAGCTTTTGAAATATATGTATGGTCCCACCTAGTGATGGGGAATCGGAAAAAAATCATAATCGATTATCGGTAATAATCGGCTGGGCATAATCGATTAATAATCGATTATAATCGAAATTTTGAACTTTAATAAAATTAATATAGAAAAGTTAAAACTTTCAGATTTCTGTCAGACTTTTACAAAAAAACATTTACTTACATAAAATATTCAAAAATGTTAATTGAAATTTCTTTTTTAAAAAGTGGAAAATAGTATTTTGTTTACTTTAAACAATATAGGACTATTGAAACAGAATGGGAATTTATTTTTTTATATAAAGTCCATGCAATGGGTATTTTACTGATATTAGTCCCACCTTTCATTTAATACATGTACGTATTTATTTCTTAAAATTAGTTTTAATTAGTTAAAATTGCAAGTTGTAAAAGTAATTATCCAGAAGTTAGACACTTGTATTTATGATTATAATTACGTTTAAAGATTGACTAGACTAATTATGTTTTCCTTTACTTGCAATACTACCGTTTCCTGGTATTAGTCTAACCCCATATTAATCATGGCGGTAAAAATATCAACAAGACACGGGATCCTTCCATGTTTTCAACATTCATCACTACTTTTATGCTCTTTGCACTTGGATTTGGTAATGAAATTAAAGTATGACAATTTTATTTTTTGTTAGCGATGTCGGCGACATTTATTTTATAATCGATTAGTAGCATCGAAGAGCTTCTAACGACCGACAATCGATTGTCGCCGACAATCGTTCCATCACTAGACCCACCTGACCTTAAAGTGTCTCTTTTAGTCCAATCCTAGATCCATTCAAACTCTTCTTTTTCCTTAAATAGGGGGGGGGGGGGACAAATTCTTTAAAATAGCTTTTTGATCAAAAACCATGGTTCAGAGTAGCTTATGGGAGAGGATGATTAAGAATATTACACTAATGTTTTATTCTACGCTCATTAACGTTTTTGTTTACATTCATGTATAATGTAAGTTTTTACTCAATATTTAACTTTATTAGGTCACCTGAGTAAACTCAGGTGACCTATTGCTATCTGTTTTCGTCGGTCGTCGTGCGTCGTGCGGTGTGCGTCGTCCGTTAACATTTGAACATTTTCAGCTTCTTCTCTGCAACCACTGAACCAATTTTAACCAAATTTGGCACAAAGCATCTATGGGTGAAGGGGAACAAAATTTGTGAATTTCATGGTCCCTGCCCCCCTGGGGCCTGGGGGGTGGGGCAAAAACTACTAAAATTAATGCAATCTTTAAAAATCTTCTTCTTTACTCCTGGACATCAAGCAGATAAACTGTTTGCATGATTGTAATCAGCATTGAGTCCTCTACCAAAATTGTGAAATTTATGGCCCCAGGGTCAGGGGTTCTAGTGCTAGGGTGGGGCTAAATAAGTATATAGTGAAAATGCATTATTTCTTTGAAAATCTTCTTCTCTGCTCCTGGGTATTAAATAAACTAACTAAGTGCATAGTTATGATGAGCAAGAGCGCCTCTACCAAAATTGTGAATTTTATGGCCCCAGGGTCAGATGTTCTAGTGTTAGGGCGGGGCTCTATAGATTATATAGTGAAAATTCATGAATTCTTTGAAAATCTTCTTCTCTGCTCCTGGGTATTAAATAAACTAACTAAGTGCATAGTTATGATGAGCAAGAGTGCCTCTACCAAAATTGTGAAATTTATGGCCCCGGGGTCAGGGGTTCTAGTGCTAGGGGGGGGGGGGGGGGGGCTGGCTCGATAGATTATGTATTTAAAATAAAAGAGTTCTTTAAAAATATTATTATCTGCTCCTGGGTATTAAATAAACTAACTAAGTGCATTGTTATGATGAGCAAGAGTGCCTCTATCAAAATTGTGAATTTTATGGCCCCAGGGTCAGGGGTTCTAGTGTTAGGGCAGGGCTCTATAGATTATATAGTGAAAATTCATGAATTCTTTGAAAATCTTCTTCTCTGCTCCTGGGTATTAAATAAACTAACTAAGTGCATAGTTATGATGAGCAAGAGTGCTTTTACCAAAATTGTGAAATTTATGGCCCCGGGGTCAGGGGTTCTAGTGCTAGGGGGGGTGGGGGGGCTAAATAAGTATATAGTGAAAATGCATTATTTCTTTGAAAATCTTCTTCTCTGCTCCTGAGTATTAAATAAACTAACTAAGTGCATAGTTATGATGAGCAAGAGTGCTTCTACCAAAATTGTGAAATTTATGGCCCCGGGGTCAGGGGTTCTAGTGCTAGGGGGGGGGGGGGGGGCTAAATAAGTATATAGTGAAAATGCATTATTTCTTTGAAAATCTTCTTCTCTGCTCCTGGGTATTAAATAAACTAACTAAGTGCATAGTTATGATGAGCAAGAGTGCTTCTACCAAAATTGTGAAATTTATGGCCCCAGGGTCAGGGGTTCTAGTGTTAAGGTGGGGCTCTATAGATTATATAGTGAAAATGCATTATTTCTTTGAAAATCTTCTTCTCTGCTCCTGAGTATTAAATAAACTAACTTAGTGTATAGTTATGATGAGCAAGAGTGCCTCTACCAAAATTGTGAAATTTATGGCCCCGGGAACAGGGGTTCTAGTGCTAGGGTGGGGCTAAATAAGTATATAGTGAAAATGCATTATTTCTTTGAAAATCTTCTTCTCTGCTCCTGGGTATTACATAAACTAAGTGCATAGTTATGATGAGCAAGAGTGCCTCTACCAAATTGTGAAATTCATGGCCCCGGGGTCAGGGGTTCTAGTGTTAGGGCGGGGCTCTATAGATCATATAGTGAAAATTCATGAATTCTTTGAAAATCTTCTTCTCTGCTCTTGTGTGTTAAATAAACTAACTAAGTGCATAGTTATGATGTGCAAGAGTGCCTTTACCAAAATTGTGAAATTTATGGCCCCGGGGTCAGGGGTTCTAGTTTTAGGGTGGGGCTCTATTGATTATATAATGGAAATACATGAATTCTTCGAAAAAATTTCTTTTTTGCTCCTAGGAATTAAATAAACTAAGTACATAGTTATGATGAGCAAGAATACCTTTTCCAAAATTTTGATTTTATGGCCCTTGGGTCAGGGGTTCTAGTGATAGGGTGGGGCTCTATTGATTATATAGTGAAAATACATTAAATCTTTGAAAATTTTCTTCTCTGCTCTTGGGTATTAAGCAGATGAACTACCTATGTAGTTATGATGAGCAAGGACCCTAATCTTCTAGAATTGTGAATTTCAAGGCCCCAGGGTCAGGGGTACCATAGGGGGAATGTACTTATATACTGAAACTGGATGAATTGTTTGAGATCTGCTCCTTGGTATTAATCAAATATTTTTGAAAAGCAAGGGTGCCTTTTCAAAAATTGTGCAATGAGTGGATCTAGGCCTAAGGGTCAGGGGTTCATGTGTGATTGGGGCATTACTGATCATGCTGAATATTACTGATTACTTGAAATGCATTTTTTGTTCCCCCACCCTGCCTATGTGTATTAAGTAAACAAACTAAGCAACTGCTAAGTGTATTGTTATGATGATCAAATTGTGCCTCTTTCAAGATTGTGAATGCCATAGCATCTTGCTTAAAACATTAATCAAATTAAATCGCTGGAAAGTTGTTGCATAATGCTCAGGTGACCTATAAGGCCCATGGGCCTCTTGTTTTCAGAATAAAAAGGCTTTTGTTTTGGAGAAGCTGGAACGGAGAACGATTAATTCTCGGTATGCTGCTGCAGGAAAGACTCTGAAGGTTTTTTTTTGCAAGAAATAGTAGTGGGAAAAATCATAGATTCAACATTTAAGAGGGAGAACAGGCTCCTAAATAAAAAGATGGCAATATTTTAAATCAAAATATCCTTACGCTGTTTAACTGAACGTTGAAAATGGAGAAAGAGTTAGAGAAATTAGTGGAGATTGGACAAAAGTTAGGTCTGCACGGAGATCAGTTGTTGGAGTATGTTAGAGAAAAAGAAAGATCAGAAAGAAAAGTTGAAGAAGATAAATTATTGAGAGAAGAGAGAGCAAAGGAACGAGAGGCAAAGAGAGAAGAGAAAGAACTAGATTTGCAGATAGTACAATGTGAGCAAGAGGCAAAGAGAAAAGAAAAAGAGTTGAGCATGGAGATGCAAATGAAAGAATCAAGCAATCATTTGGCATTGTTAGAAAAACAAATTCAGCTAGAGAGAGTTAAAGCAGAGGCATTGGCATTAGAAGTAAGTGCTAAGCATCAAAGTACCCCCATGTCCCCTGAGGTGTCTGTTCAAAATCGTGCCAAGATGCCCAAACTTCCTCCCTTTAATGATCAAAGAGACTGTATTGACGCTTATCTACAGAGGTTTGAAAGGTTTGCAGAAAATGCTAAGTGGTCTAAGGATACATGGTCAATAAATCTTAGTGCTTTGCTTACAGGTACTGCTCTTGAAGTTTACTCTCGTTTATCTCCTGGGGATGCATTTGATTATGATAAGCTCAAGTGTTCATTGCTTCAGAGATTTAGAATGTCCGAAGAAGGTTTCCGCGAGAAATTCAGAGGTTGTAAACCAGAAAAAGGAAAGATTCCTCCTCAATTCTTTGCGCGTTTAGACAATTATCTGAAAAGGTGGATGGAACTCGCAAAATCCCCGTCAACATTTGAGGGCTTAAAAAATCTTATGTTGCGCGAACAATATATTTCAAGTTGTAGTAAGACTTTGGCTACTTTCTTACGAGAACGTCACCCGAAAGATGTTCAAGAGATGACGCGGTTAGCAGAGCAATTTATTGAAGCGCACGGCACTTCTTCATTTTCTTACGATCGCACAAACTATCAAGTAGCGACTAATGATGTGAGGTCAACGTCAACAACGTTTCAAAAGAAACCTTTCTCAAGTTCAGGTAAGAATGATAGAAAGTGTTACGAGTGTGGTAGATCTGTTTACATCGCTAAAGATTGTTTTGACAGGTTGAAGAAAGGAAATCGTTCTCAGACTTACAAAAGCGCAGCGATGCTAAGCTCTGGTTCTTCATCAAAGGCTACTTCCCGATCTGCAAAATCACAGCACCAGAAAGTTGATGTTGAGAGTGAGCATCAACAAGGAAACCAATCTACTGAATCAGGTAAACATGTAGGTTCTTTGTGTATTTTGGCAGATAAATTGAAAGACTGTTGCATACAAGACAATCAAGTTACGTTACGTTGTGGGCATATGTTACCGGTCATTGGTGGAGCTTGTCGTGTTTGTCATAATATGCCAGTTTCAGATGGGTATGTAGGTAATCATCCTGTGGAGGTTCTGCGAGACAGTGGATGCACAGGAGTTGTGGTAAAAACCAGTCTCGTACCTAAAGACCAACTGCCAGGGCGGAGTGTGGAATGTGTACTCATCGACGGGACTGTCCGGAAAGTTCCCGAGGCTTACATAAAAATACATACACCGTTCATAACAGGTAAGGTCAAAGCTCTATGTATGAACAACCCAGTCTATGGTTTAATCATAGGTAACATAAAAGGTGCAAGAGATCCCTCTGACCCTGATCCTGATCCAAAATGGGACAATGGAAGAAATAATGAAGTTGAGGAAAACGATACACATGACTTGGTGGAAGGCTCAGCTGTACAGACAAGAGGTCAAGTACAGAAGGAAAAGGAAAAGTACAAAACGTTAAAGGTAACTAGTATCACAGACAATTTCACTTCAGTGGATGATATGATAGTTGCACAAAATGAGGACGCTACACTGGATAAGTATCGGGAATACGCAAATACTGGTGTTAAGAAGTTCACAGGACAACAGAATGTGTCGTGGTTTGTCATTGAAGACGGTCTATTGTTCCGATATTTCCAGTCTCCGAAGGTTAGTAGCAATAAAATTTTCAAACAGTTTGTTGTTCCTTCACTACACCGTATTACAGTTATGAAACTCGCACATGATTGTGTACTGTCTGGTCACTTAGGAATTAGAAAGACAACAGATAGGGTATTGTTTAACTTTTATTGGCCAGGTGTACAAGGTGATGTAGGAAGATATTGTAGATCATGTGACGTTTGTCAGCGAACCGTACCCAAAGGTAAGATCTTCCCAGTTCCATTAGAGTCTATGCCCCTCATTGAGACTCCTTTTGAGCGTGTTGCTGTAGATTTGATTGGTCCAATTTTCCCAGCAACAGATCGTGGGAACAGGTATGTACTCACTATGGTAGACTACAGTACAAGATACCCCGAAGCCGTCGCACTCAAAGGCATTGAGACGGAACGTGTGGCTGAGGCATTGTTTGAATTCTTCACTAGACTTGGAATTCCTAAGGAAATTTTATCAGATATGGGAACCCAGTTTACGTCTTACCTTATGAAAGAGGTAGGTCGTTTACTTTCCATTGCACAACTTACAACTACTCTGTACCATCCTGCCTGCAATGGTTTGGTTGAAAAGTTCAATGGATCACTTAAACAAATGCTCAGACGTATGGCTACTGAAAGACCCAAGGATTGGGAAAGGTATATAGCACCTTTATTATTCGCATACCGTGAAGTTCCTCAAGAGAGCATGGGTTTTTCACCATTTGAATTATTATATGGTAGATCAGTCCGAGGACCGATGACACTTCTACGAGAGATGTGGACGAAAGAATTAAAAGACCCAGAAGTCAAAAGCACTTATCAGTACGTCATCGACTTGAAAGAGCGTTTAGAAGAGACATGTGAATTAGCTAGGAAGTCCTTACAAAAGTCCAGTCAGCGCTACAAGAAATATTACGATCGGAAAACAAGGGCACGTTCATTCAACGTTCAGGATAAGGTATTAATCCTCCTTCCGACGGACAACAACAAGCTACTCATGCAATGGAAGGGTCCATTTACTATTGTTTCCAAATGTTGAATGGCTGACTACAAAGTAGATGTACAGGGTAAGATCAAGACTTTCCATGCTAACCTTTTGAAGAAGTATGTTGAAAGAGAAGTAAGTACACCCGAAGTTCTTAGTTATTGTTCTGTCATAGAAGAAGAAATACCTCAAGATGGTGAGACTTCAGAAGGTGAGAGTGATTTCCCTCTAGAGATACCGCCTTCCGAAGCTAAGGAGACATTTCAAGATGTGAATGTTGACACAGATCTGACTGAGCAGCAACAAGATGACGTCAAAAAGATTTTGTCGGAATTCAAAGATGTTTTGTCGGATTTACCAAATCTTACTCATTTGGCTCGGCATGAGATACATCTGACAACTACGGATCCTATTCACAACAAACCGTATCAAATTCCATTCGCTCTACGTGATTCAGTTAGGGAAGAAATCAAGAAAATGGATTGAGATGGACATCATAGAGCCGTCCGAATCCCCTTACGCAAGCTCTATCGTTGTTGCCAAGAAAGCTGATGGTTCTAAGAGAATATGCATCGACTTTAGAAAGCTAAACAAGGTGACAGTGTTTGATGCCGAACCAATGCCCGATCCCGAGGAAATTTTTGCTAGAATTGGACAAAGTAAGTATTTTACTAAAGTAGACCTTTGCAAGGGATATTGGCAAATTCCTATGAGGGACGAGGACAAAGACCTGACATCATTCGTCACTCCTGATGGTTTGTTTAGATTCAAAGTAATGCCGTTTGGTCTATCAAACGCGGCAGCGACGTTTAATCGCATGATGCGCGTTTTGTTGAAAGATACCGATAGTTTCATTGACGATATCTTGATTCATTCAGAAACGTGGGAAGAACATTTGGTGTCTATCAGGTGTTTATTACAAAGACTACGGTCGGGGAAACTGAATGCAAAACCATCTAAATGTTTTGTAGGTTTTAGCTCACTTGAATTTTTAGGTCACTCAGTTGGAAATGGTGTAATGCGACCTAATAATGACAAGCTTGAGGCAATCAAGAAAGCCCCTCGCCCTGAAACCAAGAAACAGGTACGTTCTTTCTTGGGACTGATTGGTTATTACCGCAGGTTTGTTCCCAACTTTGCGGCAGTTGCTTGTCCTTTGACAGATTTGACAAAGAAAGGTACCCCAAATAAAGTCGAATGGTGTGATGAACACGAGAGATCATTTATGAATTTAAAGTCATTGCTTTTATACGCCCCAATACTTAGACTCCCTGACTTTAACAAAGACTTCTTTCTCAGAACCGATGCTTCCGACTACGGAATAGGTGCTGTTTTGTTGCAGAAGCATGAGAAAATGTTCCCTGTCGCATATGCCAGTAGAAAGTTGAACGAAAGAGAGAGGAATTATTCTGTGATTGAGAAAGAGTGTGTAGCTATTGTATGGGCTGTGAGAAAATTTCAGGCATACTTGTACGGTAGGACATTCGTTCTGCAGACAGATCATCAACCATTGGTCTATCTGAACAGATCAAAAGTGTCAAATGGTAGGTTGATGCGTTGAGCTATCTTTTTGCAATCCTACAAGTTTGTAGTTCATGCTATCAAAGGTGTTGATAACGTAGGCGCAGACTTTTTAAGTCGTCATGTTTTGTAAATATTGTTGATTTGAATTTACTTTCAAAATATGGTTTCCAATTTTGAAGCTGAAAAGGGGAGGTATTGTCACAATTTTTATTAAATTTGCTCATGTCGGTTATGGCGTACCATAATTTCAATTCTCACCGTATACTCGTTACGGATAGTTGGTCACGGTTGTCAGACCGGTTTGTAAAATTGTCGACGTGTGAGTTGATAGCAGGCCGTAGAAGCGAGAAGGTGTGTCCTTCCGTAGTGAAAATGTTGTATAACCTGTGTGGTCTCCAGACAAAAAGCTGTGTGCATTTGGCCTGAATGTTTGGTGTGTTTGAGAAGTTTTCCTGTGTGGAAAGTGTAGTATTTTTAGTACATTGGCAGCGGTGAGTGTGAAATGTTTATTAGGTCTTTCCACCTTTCTGTGGAAAGACCTATTGATTTTCTTCTGTTTCTTATTATTATTCTTCTTCCGCTGATTTTTTATTTCGACATTTATCAAAAAGACTTTTTGTTCATCGTAAGAGTCATTAAAAGTTATGAACAAATTTGACCCAACGCTTATGAACTATGACCGCTTTCGAAGTTATTGCCCCTTTTGCAAGAAATGCTTGTTATCGCTACTCCTTTGAAACCGTAAACCGTAGAGGTATGAAACCTTCACTAAAGTCTTCAACTAATTGAGAGGACTCTGGAATCTATTCATTGCGAAAGTATTCGGTGACCCCTTCAATGAGTTATTGCCCCTGAAACTTTTTTAATTTTAGAAATAATTAAAAATTTTCAAAACAAGAAGTGATAGAGACATGGGACCAACTGCATAAGATTTATTGACCTTTGATCATGAAATTCATGCAAAGGTCAAAGGTCAAGGTCATTCCAAATTTGAGAAATTAAGCTCTTTTTATATCTTTTTTGTCTTTTAACATATACAAACTGTCTTAGCATCATTAATATGTACTCTTAAAACTATTTTAAAGATTTAATTCGTATTCCTTAAGATTGACCCTATTAAAAGTTATCGCCCTTTGTACGAAAAACCTTGTTATCGCTACTCCTTCAAAACTGTAAACCGTAGAAATATGAAACCTTCACTAAAGTCTTCGACTAATTGAGAGGACTCTGGAATCTATTCATTGCGAAAGTATTCGGTGACCCCTTCAATGAGTTATTGCCCCTGAAACTTTTTTAATTTTAGAAATAATTAAAAATTTTCAAAACGAGAAGTGATAGAGACATGGGAACAACTGCATAAGATTCATTGACCTTTGATCATAAAATTAATGCAAAGGTCAAAGGTCAAGGTCATTCGAAATTTGAGAAATTATGTTTTTTTTATATCTCTTTTGTCTTTAAACATATACTTAATATCTTAGCATCATTAATAAGTACTCCTAAAACTATTTTAAATATTTCATTTTTGTTCCCTAAGATTAACCCTTTTAAAAGTTATTGCCCCTTGTGCAAAAAACCTTGTAATTGCTACTCCTCCGAAACTGTAGACCGTAGAGACACCAAACCTTCACTAATGTCTTTAGAATCTTGAGGCATAACTACAATGTATAAGTGCAAATGGATCTAATGACCTCTTATATGAGTTATTGCCCTTTAACGTCTTTGTACTTATTATTAAACCTTATAACTTAAAAACTATAAGTCATAGAAGCATGGGGTCAATTGCATTGTGACCCTTGACCTTTGTCCTTGAGCATTTTTTCAAGGTCAAAGGTTCAAGGTCATTTCAAATTTTTTTAATTTTCATTTTTTTCTATCCTTTAAGACAGTTTTGGTTTCTTATTCATGGAATCTAATTTGAAGGAGTCAGATATAAAACAAAATTGAAATTCAAAGAAGGTGGAAAGACCTCTTATTGTTCTGTGAACAATAAGTCTCCTAGTTATTATTATTATTATTAGGTCTTTCCACCTTTCTGTGGAAAGACCTCTTGAAATGCTTCTGTTTATTATTATTATTATTATTATTTTTCCGCTATGGACTTTTGATACGAAAGACTTATTGAAAAACTTTTTAGTTCATGATACTCGACATCAAAAGTTATTTCGAAAAACAACCCAACGTATATGACCTATGACCCCTTACGGAGTTCTTGCCCCTTTTATGTAAAACCTTGTTATCGCTACTCCTTCGAAACCATAAACCGTAGAAATATAAAACCTTCACTAAAGTCTTCGACTCATTGAGAGGATTCTGGAATCTATTCATTGCGAAAGTCTTCGGTGAATCCTTCAATGAGTTATTGCCCCTGAAAGTCTTTGAATTTTACAAATAATTAAAAATTTTCAAAACGAGAAGGTGTAGAGACATGAGACCAACTGCATAAAATTCATTGACCTTTGAGCTTAAAATTCATGTAAAGGTCAAAGGTCAAGGTCATTCCAAAATTGAGAAATTAACCTCTTTTTATATCTTTTTTGTCTCTTAACATATACAAACTGTCTCAGCATCATTAATATGTTCTCTTAAAACTATTTAAAAGATTTAATTTGTATTCCGTAAGATTGACCCTATTAAAAGTTATCGCCCTTTGTGCGAAAAACCTTGTTATCGCTACTACTTCAAAACCGTAAACCGTACAAATATGAAACCTTCACTAAAGTCTTCGACTCATTGAGAGAAATCTGGAATTTATTCATTGCAAAAGTCTTTGGTGACTCCTTCAATGAGTTATTGCCCCTGAAAGTTTTTGAATTTTACAAATAATTAAAAATTTTCAAAACGAGAAGGTATAGAGACATGAGACTAACTGCATAAGATTCATTGACTTTTGAGCTTTAAATTTGTGTAAAGGTCAAAGGTCAAGGTCATTCCAAAATTGAGAAATTAAGTTGTGTTTATATCTTTTTTGTCTCTTAACATATATAAACTGTTTTTGCATCATTAATATGTACTCTTAAAACTATTTTTAAGATTCAATTCGTATTCCGTAAGATTGACCCTAATAAAAGTTATCGCCCTTTGTGCGAAAAATCTTGTTATTGCTACTACTTCAAAACCGTAAACCGTACAAATATGAAACCTTCACTAAAGTCTTTGACTCATTGAGAGAATTCTGGAATTTATTCATTGCGAAAGTCTTTGGTGACTCCTTCAATGAGTTATTGCCCCTGAAAGTCTTTGAATTTTACAAATAATTAAAAATTTTCAAAACGAAAAGGTGTAGAGACATGAGACCAACTGCACAAGATTCATTGACCTTTGAGCTTAAAAGTCATGTAAAGGTCAAAGGTCAAGGTCATTCCAAAATTGAGAAATTAAGCTGTTTTTATATCTTTTTTGTCTCTTAACATATATAAACTCTCTTTGCATCATTAATATGTACTCTTAAAACTATTTTTAAGATTCAATTCATATTCCGTAAGATTGACCCTATTAAAAGTTATCGCTCTTTGTGTGAAAAATCTTGTTATCACTACTACTTCAAAACCGTAAACCGTACAAATATGAAACCTTCACCAATGTCTTCGACTCATTGAGAGGATTCTGGAAATTATTTATTGTGAAAGTATTCGGTGACTCCTTCAATGAGTTATTGCCCCTGAAGGTCTATGAATTTTACAAATAATTAAAAATTTTCAAAACGAGAAGGTGTACAGACATGAGACCAACTGCATAAGATTCATTGACCTTTGAGCTTAAAATTCGTGCAAAAGGTCAAAGGTCAAGGTCATTCCAAACTTGAAAAATTAAGCTCTTTTAATATCTTTTAAAATATACAAAATTTCTTAGCATCATATTATTATGTACTCTTAAAACTATTTAAACGATTTAATTTGTATCCCATAAGATTGAACCTATCTAAAGTTATCGCCCTTTATGCGAAAAACCTTGTTATTGCTACTACTTCCAAATCGTAAATCGCAGAGACATGAAACCTTCACTGATGTTTTTGACTTTTTGAGAAGAATCTGGAATTTATCATTGTGAAAGTATTCAATGACAACTTCAATGAGTTGTTGCCCCTGAAAGATTTTGAATTTAACAAATAATTACAAATTTTCAAATTGAGAAGTTGTAGAGACATGGGACCAACTGCAAAAGATTCATTGACCTTTGATGTTAAATATAAAGCAAAGGTCAAGGTCATTCCAAAAACGAGAAATTAAGCTCTTTTTATATCTCTTTTGTCTTTTAACATATACAAAATGTTTTTGCATAATTAATTTGTACTCTTAAAATTATTTAAACTATTTCAATCTTGTCCTTTAAGATTGACCCTATTGAAAGTTATTGCCCTTTGTGCGAAAAACCTTGTTATTGCTACTGCTCCAAAAGCGTAAGCCGAGGAGACTAAAACTGCTCTGAAACTGAATATGTCATCATGTTAAGAGAAATGTTTTCCAACGGTCTGAAGTTATTTAATACGTACAAAGCGTCAAACTTCATGCATTTGAAAACTTCCAAATTCTAGTATCTAGATTTTTATATAAATTGCAATTGCGTCATGGTAGCTGTAGTAGGTAGGGACAATTGAAACTTGAAATTGAGGACAACCTTTCATGTAAACGTGGTCGATCAATGTTCCATTTTCTGTTGTTGGATTTTCGATGCATTGTCTGAATCCATTCAATGTCATAAAATTAAGAATTGATGTCTGATTGTTCAGAATATCTTGATTAAAATCACCAACGACAATTAGCCTACTAGAGAGACTTTCCAACCGGCTAATGAGTAGCGTTAAAGCTTCCATAAATTTTCCAATCACGTATCTTTGTGGTCTGTAAATGATGGCAAATACAGTG